AACTGGGACACCCTGTAGTTCATCATACTGCAGTACGGCATCACCAACTGGGACACCCTTTAGTTCATAATGCAGTACGGCATCACCAACTGGGACACCCTGTAGTTCATAATGCAGTACGGTATCACCAACTGGGACACCCTGTAGTTCATAATGCAGTACGGCATCACCAAATAGGACACCCTTTAGTTCATAATGCAGTACGACATCACCAACTGGGACACCCTGTAGTTCATAATGCAGTACGGCATCACCAACTGGGACACCCTGTACTTCATAATGCAGTACCGCATCACCAACTGGGACACCCTTTAGTTCATAATGCAGTACGACATCACCAACTGGGACACCCTGTAGTTCATAATGCAGTACGGCATCACCAACTGGGACAGCCTGTAGTTCATAATGCAGTACCGCATCACCAACTGGGACACCCTGTAGCTCATAATGCAGTACGGCATCACCAACTGGGACACTCTGTAGTTCATACTGCAGTACGGCATCACCAACTTGGACACCATGTAGTTTATAATGCAGTACGGCATCACCAACAGAGACACCCTGTAGTTCATACTGCAGTATGGCATCACCAACTGGGACGGCCTGTACTTCATACTACAGTACGGCATCACCAACTGGGACACCCTGTAGTTCATAATGCAGTACGGTATCACCAACTGGGACACCCTGTAGTTCATAATGCAGTACGGCATCACCAACTAGGACACCCTTTAGTTCATAATGCAGTACGACATCACCAACTGGGACACCCCAGTAGTTCATAATGCAGTACGGCATCACCAACTGGGACACCCTGTACTTCATAATGCAGTACGGCATCACCAACTGGGACACCCTGTAGTTCATAATGCAGTACGACATCACCAACTGGGACACCCTGTAGTTCATAATGCAGTACGGCATCACCAACTGGGACATCCTGTAGCTCATAATGCAGTACGGCATCACCAACTGGGACACCCTGTAGTTCATAATGCAGTACGACATCACCAACTGGGACACCCTGTAGTTCATAATGCAGTACGGCATCACCAACTGGGACATCCTGTAGCTCATAATGCAGTACGGCATCACCAACTGGGACACCCTGTAGTTCATAATGCAGTACGACATCACCAACTGGGACACCCTGTAGTTCATAATGCAGTACGGCATCACCAACTGGGACAGCCTGTAGTTCATAATGCAGTACCGCATCACCAACTGGGACACCTCCTGTAGCTCATAATGCAGTACGGCATCACCAACTGGGACACTCTGTAGTTCATATTGCAGTACGGCATCACCAACTTGGACACCATGTAGTTTATAATGCAGTACGGCATCACCAACAGAGACACCCTGTAGTTCATACTGCAGTATGGCATCACCAACTGGGACGGCCTGTACTTCATACTACAGTACGGCATCACCAACTGGGACACCCTGTAGTTCATACTGCAGTACGGCATCACCAACTGGGACACCCTGTAGTTCATAATACAGTACGGCATCACCAACTGGGACACCCTGTAGCTCATAATGCAGTACGGCATCACCAACTGGGACACCCTGTAGTTCATACTGCAGTACAGCATCACCAACTGGGACACCATGTAGTTCATAATGCAGTACGACATCACCAACTGGGACACCCTGTAGTTCATTATGCAGTACGGCATCACCAACTGGGACACCCTGTAGTTCATAATGCAGTACGGCATCACCAACTGGGACACCCTGTAGTTCATAATGCAGTACGGCATCACCAACTGGGACATCCTGTAGTTCATAATGCAGTACGGCATCACCAACTGGGACACACCCTGTAGTTCAAAATGCAGTACGGCATCACCAACTGGGACACCCTGTACTTCATACTACAGTACGGCATCACCAACTGGGACACCCTTTAGTTCATAATGCAGTACGGCATCACCAACTGGGACACCCTGTAGTTCATAATGCAGTACGGTATCACCAACTGGGACACCCTGTAGTTCATAATGCAGTACGGCATCACCAAATAGGAAACCCTTTAGTTCATAATGCAGTACGACATCACCAACTGGGACACCCTGTTGTTCATAATGCAGAACGGCATCACCAACTGGGACACCCTGTAGTTCATAATGCAGTACCGCATCACCAACTGGGACACCCTTTAGTTCATAATGCAGTACGACATCACCAACTGGGACACCCTGTAGTTCATAATGCAGTACGGCATCACCAACTGGGACAGCCTGTAGTTCATAATGCAGTACCGCATCACCAACTGGGACACCCTGTAGCTCATAATGCAGTACGGCATCACCAACTGGGACACTCTGTAGTTCATACTGCAGTACGGCATCACCAACTTGGACACCATGTAGTTTATAATGCAGTACGGCATCACCAACAGAGACACCCTGTAGTTCATACTGCAGTATGGCATCACCAACTGGGACGGCCTGTACTTCATACTACAGTACGGCATCACCAACTGGGACACCCTTTAGTTCATAATGCAGTACGGTATCACCAACTGGGACACCCTGTAGTTCATAATGCAGTACGGCATCACCAACTAGGACACCCTTTAGTTCATAATGCAGTACGACATCACCAACTGGGACACCCTGTAGTTCATAATGCAGTACGGCATCACCAACTGGGACACCCTGTACTTCATAATGCAGTACCGCATCACCAACTGGGACACCCTTTAGTTCATAATGCAGTACGACATCACCAACTGGGACACCCTGTAGTTCATAATGCAGTACGGCATCACCAACTGGGACAGCCTGTAGTTCATAATGCAGTACCGCATCACCAACTGGGACACCCTGTAGCTCATAATGCAGTACGGCATCACCAACTGGGACACTCTGTAGTTCATACTGCAGTACGGCATCACCAACTTGGACACCATGTAGTTTATAATGCAGTACGGCATCACCAACAGAGACACCCTGTAGTTCATACTGCAGTATGGCATCACCAACTGGGACGGCCTGTACTTCATACTACAGTACGGCATCACCAACTGGGACACCCTGTAGTTCATACTGCAGTACGGCATCACCAACTGGGACACCCTGTAGTTCATACTGCAGTACAGCATCACCAACTGGGACACCCTGTAGTTCATAATGCAGTACGGCATCACCAACTGGGACACCCTGTAGTTCATAATGCAGTACGGCATCACCAACTGGGACACCCTGTAGTTCATAATGCAGTACGGCATCACCAACCGGGACACCCTGTAGTTCATACTGCAGTACGGCATCACCAACTAGGACACCCTTTAGTTCATAATGCAGTACGACATCCCCAACTGGGACACCCTTTAGTTCATTATGCAGTACGGCATCACCAACTGGGACACCCTTTAGTTCATAATGCAGTACGGCATCACCAACTGGGACACCCTGTAGTTCATAATGCAGTACGGCATCGCCAACTGGGACACCCTGTAGTTCATAATGCAGTACGGCATCACCAACTAGGGACACCCTTTTAGTTCATAATGCAGTACGACATCACCAACTGGGACACCCTGTAGTTCATAATGCAGTACGGCATCACCAACTGGGACACCCTGTACTTCATAATGCAGTACCGCATCACCAACTGGGACACCCTGTAGTTCATAATGCAGTACGACATCACCAACTGGGACACCCTGTAGTTCATTATGCAGTACGGCATCACCAACTGGGACACCCTGTAGTTCATAATGCAGTACGGCATCACCAACTGGGACACCCTGTAGTTCATAATGCAGTACGGCATCACCAACTGGGACACCCTGTAGTTCATAATGCAGTACGGCATCACCAACTAGGACACCCTTTAGCTCATAATGCAGTACGACATCCCCAACTGGGACACCCTTTAGTTCATTATGCAGTACGGCATCACCAACTGGGACACCCTTTAGTTCATAATGCAGTACGGCATCACCAACTGGGACACCCTGTAGTTCATAATGCAGTACGGCATCGCCAACTGCAACACCCTGAAGTTCATACTACAGTACGGCATCACCAACTGGGACACCCTGTACTTCATACTGCAGTACGACATCACCAACTGGGACACGCTGTAGTTCATAATGGAGTATGGCATCACCAACTGGGACACCCTGTAGTTCATAATGCAGTACCGCATCACCAGCTGGGACACCCTGTAGTTCATAATGCAGTACGGCATCACCAACTGGGACACCCTGTAGTTCATACTGCAGTACGACATCCCCAACTGGGACACGCTGTAGTTCATAATGCAGTACGACATCACCAACTGGGACACCCTGTAGTTCATAATGCAGTACCGCATCACCAGCTGGGACACCCTGTAGCTCATAATGCAGTACGGCATCACCAACTGGGACACCCTGTAGTTCTTAATGCAGTACGACATCACCAACTGGGACACCCTGTAGTTCATAATGCAGTACGGCATCAACAACTGGGACACCCTTTAGTTCATAATGCAGTACGACATCACCAACTGGGACACGCTGTAGTTTATAATGCAGTACGGCATCACCAACTGGGACACCCTGTAGTTCATAATGCAGTACGGCATCACCAACTGGGACACCCTTTAGTTCATAATGCAGTACGGCATCACCAACTGGGACATCTTACTGTAGTTCATTATTCAGCAGAACATCATCAACTAGGACATCGTCAACTAGGACATTTTGTAGTTGGTAATCAATCAGTGGTACAGATTCCAAGAACCGCATGTATATGTTCATCATGTCGCGATCGTACCCTCGTTGGACTAAGATCAATCATTTCACCGAGTCTCTAAGTTATCAGTATTTTAACCGTTTTGGGATTGATGTAACCCATTTTCATTAAATGTATATAATTTAAAATGCATTTATAATTTCAAAATCAAATTACAAATTCACCCGACGGCTTTTGCTCTGCTAGATGGAATAAACTATTTATGAAATTAATGCTCCTAAAGGCATATCTTACTCAAAATCTCACCTGTACATTTAGTGATGATTGTAGCTTGAAGGTTGCTGAGGGATCGAGAACTGAAGGGCCTGACGTAGTCCTGGAGCACCACGGCTGACAAAGCATTTATACCCGAGGACAATGAGCTGCAGTAAATGAATTAGCACGTCAATAAGGTTCGCCAGGGGAACACAACGTCAATATAACAATACTAGATAGCGTGAGTATAGCTCATCAGTGGTAAACTATGAGAGTAGCTCAACAACAGCAAGTAGCGTGAGTACAGCTCACCAGTGGTAAACTATGAGAGTAGCTCAACAACAGCAAGTAGTGTGATTATAGCTCATCATTGGTAAACAATGATATGTGACTGTCATTGTATGTTGTATATACACATATGGTAATTGTTATACCTGAGGCTGTCATTGTATATTGTATATACACATATGATATTGTTGTACCTGAGGCTGTCATTGTGTGTTGTATATACACAAATGAAATTGTTGTACCTGAGGCTGTCATTGTATGTTGTATATACACATATGGTATTGTCATACCGGAGGCTGTCATTGTATATTGTATATACACAAATGATATTGTTGTACCTGAGGCTGTCATTGTATATTGCATATACACATATGGTATTGTTATACCTGAGGCTGTCATTGTATATTGTATATACACATATGATATTGTTATAGGCTGTCATTGTATGTTGCATATACACATATGATATTGTTATACCTGAGGCTGTCATTGTATGTTGTATATACACATATGATATTGTTGTACCTGAGGCTGTCATTGTATGTTGTATATACACATATGATATTGTTGTACCTGGGACTGTCATTGTATGTTGTTTATACACATATGATATTGTTGTACCTGTGACTGTCATTGCATGTTTTATATACACATATGATATTGTTGTACCTGAGACTGTCATTGTATATTGTATATACACATATGATATTGTTGTACCTGTGACTGTCATTGTTTGTTGTATTTACACATATGATATTGTTGTACCTGAGGCTGTAATTGTATATTGTATATACGGAGATGATATTATTGTACCTGAGGCTGTCATTGTATATTGTATATACACATATGATATTGTTGCACCTGTGACTGTCATTGTATATTGTACATACACAAATGATATTGTTGCACCTGTGACTGTCTTTGTATATTGTATATACACAAATGATATTGTTATACCTGAGGCTGTCATTGTATATTGTATATACACAAATGATATTGGTGTATCTGTGACTGTCATTGTATGTTGTACATACACAAATGATATTGTTGTACCTGTGACTGTCATTGTATATTGTATATACACATATGGTATTGTTATACCTGAGGCTGTCATTGTATATTGTATATACACAAATGATATTGTTGTACCTGTGACTGTCATTGTATGTTATATATACACATATGATATTATTGTACCTGTGACTGACATTGTATGTTGCATATACACATATGATATTGTTATACCTGAGGCTGTCATTGTATGTTGTATATACACATATGATATTGTTATACATGAGGCTGTCATTGTATATTGTATATACACAAATGATATTGTTGTACCTGAGACCGTCATTGTGTGTTGTATATACACAAATGATATTGTTGTACCTGAGGCTGTCATTGTATGTTGTATATACACATATGATATTGTTGTACCTGAGGCTGTCATTGTATGTTGTATATACACATATGATATTGTTGTACCTGAGACTGTCATTGTATGTTGTATATACACATATGATATTGTTGTACCTGAGGCTGTCATTGTATGTTGTATATACACATATGATATTGTTGTACCTGTGACTGTCACTGTATATTGTACATACACAACTGATATTGTGGTACCTGTGACTGTCTTTGTATATTGTATATACACATATGATATTGTTATACATGAGGCTGTCATTGTATATTGTATATACACAAATGATATTGTTGTACCTGTGACTGTCATTGTATATTGTATATACACATATGGTATTGTTATACCTGAGGCTGTCATTGTATATTGTATATACACATATGATATTGTTGTACCTGAGGCTGTCATTGTATATTGTATATACACATACGATATTGTTATACCTGAGGCTGTCATTGTATATTGTATATACACAAATGATATTGTTGTACCTGTGACTGTCATTGTATATTGTATACACAGAAATGATATTGTTGTACCTGAGGCTGTCTTTGTATATTGTATATACACATATGATATTGTTATACCTGAGGCTGTCATTGTATATTGTATATACACATATGATATTGTTGTACCTGAGGCTGTCATTGTATGTTGTATATACACATATGATATTGTTATACCTGAGACTGTCATTGTATGTTGTATATACACATATGATATTGTTGTACCTGAGACTGTCATTGTATGTTGTTTATACACATATGATATTGTTGTACCTGAGGCTGACATTGTATATTGTATATACACAAAGTTATTGTTGTACCTGTGACTGTCATTGTATATTGTATATACACAAATGATATTGTTGTACCTGTGACTGTCTTTGTAAATTGTATATACACATATGATATTGTTATACCTGAGGCTGTCATTGTATATTGTATATACACATATGATATTGTTATACCTGAGACTGTCATTGTATGTTGTATATACACAAATGATATTGTTATACCTGAGGCTGTCATTGTATATTGTATATACACAAATGATATTGTTATACCTGAGGCTGTCATTGTATATTGTATATACACATATGATATTGTTATACCTGAGACTGTCATTGTATGTTGTATATACACAAATGATATTGTTATACCTGAGACTGTCATTGTATGTTGTATATACACAAATGATATTGTTATACCTGAGACTGTCATTGTATATTGTATATACACAAATGATATTGTTATACCTGAGGCTGTCATTGTATATTGTATGTACACATATGATATTGTTGTACCTGAGGCTGTCATTGTATATTGTATATAGACATATGATATTGTTGTACCTGAAGCTGTCATTGTATGTTGTATATAGACATATGATATTGTTGTACCTGAGGCTGTCATTGTATATTGTATATAGACATATGATATTGTTGTACCTGAGGCTGTCATTGTATATTGTATATATACATATGATATTGTTATACCTGAGACTGTCATTGTATGTTGTATATACACATACGATATTGTTGTACCTGAGGCTGACATTGTATATTGTATATACACATATGATATTGTTGTACCTGTGACTGTCATTGTTTGTTGTATTTACACATATGATATTATTGTACCTGAGGCTGTCATTGTATATTGTATATACACATATGATATTGTTATACCTGAGGCTGTCATTGTATATTGTATATACACAAATGATATTGTTGTACCTGATACTGTCACTGTATATTGTACATACACAACTGATATTGTGGTACCTGTGACTGTCTTTGTATATTGTATATACACATATGATATTGTTGTACCTGAGGCTTCCACTGAAGATACAGGAGAGGAAGATTCCAGGTAGACCAGGCAGATGTCCCAAGATGTCCATCACGAACAGAGGCAGTAACTGCAATGCCAAGGTGGGGTTTCGTATTTTCATATCGAATGATAGGAAATGATTAGCATGTTTGTGAAAGTGGATTGAATGGAATAATAGATATCTAATCGCTGTAAAGATAAAGCAAATATATTTAATGAATATTGTGCTAACCATGCACAAGTAGATTATCCTTCCTTACACTTGAATGTAAAGTTGAGACTGCACTTGACTCTATTGTATTGACTACGCAAGAAATAAGAGACATCCTATTATCAGTTGATATTTCCAAAGCCAGTGGACCAGACAAAATAGGTAACAGATTTATCAAAATGATTGCGCCATCCCTTTTTACTCCTCTTTCTAATCTATTCAATTTATCATTAGAATATTGTGAATTCCCAGCAATATGTCATTCCTATTCATAAACAAGGTAGTTTTAATGAATGTAAAAACTACAGACCAGGAGCTCTTACCAGCTGTTTATCAAAGGACGATTTGCGGGGCAGTTAGAGGAACAAGTCATGATTAAATATATATAAGGAAACTGACTCCATGCCCCTAGTTGACCGTAGACAATTTAACAAGTTATCATTATTTTACAAAATGGTTCATCATATGACACCAGTTTATTTAACAGTATCACAGTTAAGTGACCATAGATTAAGAAACAGAAATAACATTCAAATTATAAGATGTCGTAGTGATTTGTATAAGAATTCGTTTTTACCAGATACAATAGACAATGGAATGATTTGCCTGAAAATATGTACGCTATTGAAACCATAGGCCAATTCAAACATGTATTAGAATCATCAAAACCACTTAATTTTAATATATACTCTCTCCAAAAAGAAACGCATCATGAAAATAGCAATTTCATGTAGCAATGAATTAAAACGTGATTCATTTTACAAAAGGTTTTGCTCTGTTTATGAGTCCTATGGTGTTTATGTTTTGAAACATCACAACAAAACGCACCATTCGTAAAATACCCATTATTTTCAATTTCTGCGTGTAGTGTCACAGAATACACAATTTACATGCAATGCACGTGAAAGTTGGGGATCAGATAGTTTCAATGATGGGTATAAAAGTTTGATCGCTGTCTGTCGATTATTTACTGTATTTGGAATATTGTTGATGAACGCAAAATGCCACGTCTAAGTGAAGCCAACCGTCATATCGCCATTGGTTTGCTTGAAGCTGGCCAGTCTCAACGTGCAGTTGCCCGACGCATGAATGTTCACCAAAGCACCATTTCACGGCTCTGGGAGAGATATCGCCGGCAGAATGCGGTAGCAGATGCCCCTCGTAGTGGACGACCTCGAGCGACCACTGCGGCGTAGGATCGCTACATCGAGGTACATCACTTGCGTCATCGAACAGCTACGGCGACCAGTACCGCTCGAAAAATACCCAGATTGAGGAGGCTTTCTGCACAGACCGCCAGGAACAGGTTGAGAGAGGCTGGTGTACGTGCCAGAAGACGTTATTTTGCCCTTGTGTTTCGACAACCAAATCGTCAACATCGAGTTCAATGGTGCACCAACGTTCAGGCCTGGAACCTACCGAATTGGCGTAGAATCTGGTTCAGTGATGAATCACGATTTCTATTGGAACGACGCGATGGAAGAATGTGGGTGTACAGACGTCGACGTGAACGTTTTGCCGACGCTTGCGTTCCCCAGGTGGACAGATTCGGCCGGGGAAATGTTATGATGTGGGGGGTGATCACCTGCCGTAGGAGAAGTGATTTGGTGATGATCCAGGGCAACCTGACAGCTCAACGGTACTGTGACGAAATCCTACTCCCACACCTCCTTCCAATCATTGATCGCCAGAGGGAGTTGTTTCAACAGGACAATGCCAGGCCCCACACAGCACGTCACACTAGAGACTTCCTCCAGAACCACAACATCAATGTGCTCCCCTGGCCCTCAAGATCACCGGACTTAAACCCGATCGAATATCTGTGGGATGCCCTGGACAGACGGGTGCGACGCCGTAACCCTCAGCCCCAGACACTTCAGCAACTCGCACAGGCACTACAGGCAGAGTGGGCTGCGATTGGGCAACACGAGATTCTGAGACTTATTCGTTCGATGCCGAGGCGATGCCGTGCAGTTCTGGATGTCCACGGTGGTCACACGAGGTATTGACTTCAGCGCCACCACACGTCTCCATGTGACACTCAAACTGACTTTTCTCGAGTTGGTGCCAAAGACAGATCAGTCTGCATTCCCAGTGTGCAATTTCGCTATATTTCATTGACTCATAAAGCCTACAAGATGTTTTAAAATAAACATAAACATTACAGTTGAAATTCCTATATGCGTTTCTTTTTTGGGAGAGTATATTTGTTAAAAACTTTGGTACACGTTTCTGCCAAATTATCCACTCACGCCTCAGACTTGGGTGCAGTGATTTGAAAGCGCACATGTTTAAACGGCACATTTCAGTTGATCCATTCTGCTCCTGTGGTCACCCCTATGAGGATACTTTACATTACTTCTTTACTTGTCCTAATTATTCCAACATCAGATATCACATGTATTTTTACGAACATGGATATACTTTAAATTATGTCCTAAATGGCAATCCAAACAAAAATAAACTTCTTTTATACTAAAATCTGTCCATTCTTTTATAATAAATTCGCATAGGTTTGATAAATAATTAATGATGTTCAATACGCAGGTTGCTTGCTTTCCTATCATGCAGCATATTATTTAATATTTGTTTTATTCATACATCAATGAAATGGAGAGGTATTCAAATAAGCCATTACGGCTTGTTTACCAATCCTAGTTCAATTTATTTTGAATAAAATATGTTTACACTAATCGGTGTACCCCTGTCAATGACATACGATGCCGCAAGAGGTGAGGTGAAATTGGGTTTAACGTCGGTCTTGAGAATATTTCGCTCACATGACGACGTGCATGCGTGTGTATGTGTATGTGCGGCTGCTTGTACTAGCCCAGACAGAAGCTGGTTTTATAGTGCTATCCCACTGAGATACCATGCCGCAGTGAAGCATGAATACCTCACTCAGACACATTATACTGACTCCGAGCCGACCAGTCTTTGTTGTACCCATTAATGCCGAGCGCCAGGCAGGGACAACAAGTACCATATTTTAACGTCTTTTAATATGACGCGATGGGATCGAACCCGCGACCTTCCACTCTCCGGGCGGACGCTCTAACCTTTTCACGACGGAGGTGGTCCCGATGCCGCAAGAACATGTTGTTAATCATTTGCTCTACGGAGAAGTTCTGACAAAGGAGAACCAGTTTTATGTAATAATGCACCTCCTCGGTGATGCTCACCAGGTTATATGAAGAATGATGTTCTGTGCGTGACGCTCTGTCTATATTAAGGCACTTGCCACTGTATGTTCCCAGTACACTTTGACAGGTGCTGTCTGCAGCAGGCTCTCTCTTGTATCCGCTGTATAGCTAAGACTAAATAGCATATGACGTTCTACATGTCACTGTACCTCGTCCGTGCTGTTGATGAGGTTATAGTGCAGCGGATGGCAGTCTTTGTAGAAGGCAAACATCACAATCCCGATGAGGCAGCAGATACTGACAATGACAGCTAGCCCAACCGAGTTAATCCAAATAGCACTGGAAACAGGAAACAGAGATGCTGACATCGTATCAAACCAAACTGACTTTATTTTTTAGCCTCATTTTGAGCATTACATTCTGTATATTCCCCAAGTCATATCGTCCCCCATAGTGTACACCCTATCCATACTATAAAACGTTATGTACACTTGTCGAGCCTGACCATCCTGAACAATCTTTGAACTTCATCATCCAAGAGTAGCATCCTACACACTACGTGAGCCCTATAATGGCGTCATATCATTCAATACACCCCTCGTCTCATAAAGCAGCACAACACTACGCTCTTCCGAAAACAGCATATTGCCATCCCTTGTATAAAATCCCGAAACTCCCTTCATCCTAAGATGCAACCAGCAACAGCGTATATTCATGATGCCCCACCGCCATCCCTTGTATAAAATCCCGAAACTCCCTTCATCCTAAGATGCAACCAGCAACAGCGTATATTCATGATGCCCCACCGCCATCCCTTGTATAAAATCCCGAAACTCCCTTCATCCTAAGATGCAACCAGCAACAGCGTATATTCATGATGCCCCACCGCCATCCCTTGTATAAAATCCCGAAACTCCCTTCATCCTAAGATGCAACCAGCAACAGCATATATTCATGATGCCCCACCACCATCCCTTTGTATAAAATCCCGAAACTCCCTTCATTCTAAGATGCAACCAGCAACAGCATATATTCATGATGCCCCACCACCATCCCTTGTATAAAATCCCGAAACTCCCTTCATTCTAAGATGCAACCAGCAACAGCATATATTCATGATGCCCCACCACCATCCCTTGTATAAAATCCCGAAACTCCCTTCATTCTAAGATGCAACCAGCAACAGCATATATTCATGATGCCCCACCACCATCCCTTGTATAAAATCCCTGAAACTCCTTCATTCTAAGATGCAACCAGCAACAGCATATATTCATGATGCCCCACCACCATCCCTTGTATAAAATCCCGAAACTCCCTTCATTCTAAGATGCAACCAGCAACAGCATATATTCATGATGCCCCACCACCATCCCTTGTATAAAATCCCGAAACTCCTTCATTCTAAGATGCAACCAGCAACAGCATATATTCATGATGCCCCACCACCATCCCTTGTATAAAATCCCGAAACTCCCTTCATTCTAAGATGCAACCAGCAACAGCATATATTCATGATGCCCCACCACCATCCCTTGTATAAAATCCCGAAACTCCCTTCATTCTAAGATGCAACCAGCAACAGCATATATTCATGATGCCCCACCACCATCCCTTGTATAAAATCCCGAAACTCCCTTCATTCTAAGATGCAACCAGCAACAGCATATATTCATGATGCCCCACCACCATCCCTTGTATAAAATCCCGAAACTCCTTCATTCTAAGATGCAACCAGCAACAGCGTATATTCATGATGCCCCACCGCCATCCCTTGTATAAAATCCCGAAACTCCCTTCATCCTAAGATGCAACCAGCAACAGCGTATATTCATGATGCCCCACCGCCATCCCTTGTATAAAATCCCGAAACTCCCTTCATCCTAAGATGCAACCAGCAACAGCGTATATTCATGATGCCCCACCGCCATCCCTTGTATAAAATCCCGAAACTCCCTTCATCCTAAGATGCAACCAGCAACAGCATATATTCATGATGCCCCACCACCATCCGTTGTATAAAATCCCGAAACTCCCTTCATTCTAAGATGCAACCAGCAACAGCATATATTCATGATGCCCCACCACCATCCCTTGTATAAAATCCCGAAACTCCCTTCATTCTAAGATGCAACCAGCAACAGCATATATTCATGATGCCCCACCACCATCCCTTGTATAAAATCCCGAAACTCCTTCATTCTAAGATGCAACCAGCAACAGCATATATTCATGATGCCCCACCACCATCCCTTGTATAAAATCCCGAAACTCCCTTCATTCTAAGATGCAACCAGCAACAGCATATATTCATGATGCCCCACCACCATCCCTTGTATAAAATCCCGAAACTCCCTTCATTCTAAGATGCAACCAGCAACAGCATATATTCATGATGCCCCACCACCATCCCTTGTATAAAATCCCGAAACTCCTTCATTCTAAGATGCAACCAGCAACAGCATATATTCATGATGCCCCACCACCATCCCTTGTATAAAATCCCGAAACTCCCTTCATTCTAAGATGCAACCAGCAACAGCATATATTCATGATGCCCCACCACCATCCCTTGTATAAAATCCTGAAACTCCCTTCATTCTAAGATGCAACCAGCAACAGCATATATTCATGATGCCCCACCACCATCCCTTGTATAAAATCCGAAACTCCCTTCATCCTAAGATGCAACCAGCAACAGCATATATTCATGATGCCCCACCGCCATCCCTTGTATAAAATCCCGAAACTCCCCTTCATTCTAAGATGCAACCAGCAACAGCATATATTCATGATGCCCCACCACCATCCCTTGTATAAAATCCCGAAACTCCCTTCATTCTAAGATGCAACCAGCAACAGCATATATTCATGATGCCCCACCACCATCCCTTGTATAAAATCCCGAAACTCCCTTTCATGCTAAGATGCAACCAGCAACAGCATATATTCATGATGCCCCACCGCCATCCCTTGTATAAAATCCCGAAACTCCCTTCATTCTAAGATGCAACCAGCAACAGCATATATTCATGATGCCCCACCACCATCCCTTGTATAAAATCCCGAAACTCCCTTCATTCTAAGATGCAACCAGCAACAGCATATATTCATGATGCCCCACCGCCATCCCTTGTATAAAATCCCGAAACTCCCTTCATCCTAAGATGCAACCAGCAACAGCATATATTCATGATGCCCCACCACCATCCCTTGTATAAAATCCCGAAACTCCCTTCATTCTAAGATGCAACCAGCAACAGCATATATTCATGATGCCCCACACACCAACATTCCTACACAGCAATGGTCACACGTACACCTGGGCTCTCTTCAGCGTCGGGCAGGCGAGGAGTCGCTGTATCTGGCACTGGTTCACGGCGTAGTAGGACATCCACATCATGCCGCCCCCAATCGCCACGGACCAGAAGGAATGCCGAGTAGTAGGGCTCGCGCTGAAACTGATGGCATTGGCGGATCCAGAGGGGGGATTCAGGGGGTTCGACCACATTGAAGTTAATGTTTTGCAATGGCGGGGCCAAGGTGGAGTTCGAACGCCCCGACCCCCAACCCCCCTTTTTTTATTACTATAAAGTAACATTCCAATACTGCAATGTATTATCAACAGACATGTACATACTTGCAAACAATCTAAGCACAAAAACATATTTGACGTTTACGAACAGCTGAGGTTGCTGAGGCTGCAAATGAGTGGCATCCTTACTCGTGGAAGTAGACGCGACTGTGCTCACTAGCTACCTCCCAGGCATTATGAAGGCCATCAGTGACAACAGTGCCTTGGATGAAGACCGACAACAGGCCAACAAGGATGAGAAGCGCCTGGAAACTGTCTGCCCATAGAACAGCCTTCATTCCGCCCTGGAACACACGTCATACATATTACACGAGCACGGAAGACATATCAGCCTTCACACAAACACGTGTACATTTACATACATCAAGGCGCACACAGGCACACATCATCAATGTGAATAATGTGAACAGTCTTACCCGTCTAACCATTAATTTGAATACAGTGTAGAGTGGACTGTCCTAAACGGCTCCTCACCATCAGTGTAAATAGAGTGGACTGTCCTAAACGGCTACTCACCATCAATGTAAATAGAGTGGACTGTCCTAAACGGCTCCTCACCATCAGTGTAAATAGAGTGGACTGTCCTAAACGGCTCCTCACCATCAGCGTAAATAGAGTGAACTGTCCTAAACGGCTCCTCACCATCAATGTAAGTAGAGTGGACTGTCCTAAACGGCTCCTCACCATCAGTGTAAATAGAGTGAACTGTCCTAAACGGCTACTCACCATCAGTGTAAATAGATTGGACTGTCCTAAACGGCTACTCACCATCAGTGTAAATAGAGCGAACTGTCCTAAACGGCTACTCACCATCAGTGTAAATAGAGTGGACTGTCCTAAACGGCTCCTCACCATCAATGTAAATAGAGTGGACTGTCCTAAACGGCTACTCACCATCAGTGTAAATAGAGTGGACTGTCCTAAACGGCTCCTCACCATCAGTGTAAATAGAGTGAACTGTCCTAAACGGCAACTCACCATCAATGTAAATAGAGTGGACTGTCCTAAACGGCTACTCATCATCAGTGTAAATAGAGTGAACTGTCCTAAACGGCTCCTCACCATCAATGTAAGTAGAGTGGACTGTCCTAAACGGCTCCTCACCATCAGTGTAAATAGAGTGAACTGTCCTAAACGGCTACTCACCATCAGTGTAAATAGAGTGGACTGTCCTAAACGGCTACTCACCATCAGTGTAAATAGAATGAACTGTCCTAAACGGCTACTCACCATCAGTGTAAATAGAGTGAACTGTCCTAAACGGCTCCTCACCATCAGTGTAAATAGAGTGGACTGTCCTAAACGGCTACTCACCATCAGTGTAAATAGAGTGAACTGTCCTAAACGGCTACTCACCATCAGTGTAAATAGAGTGGACTGTCCTAAACGGCTCCTCACCATCGGTGTAAATAGAGTGAACTGTCCTAAACGGCTACTCACCATCAATGTAAATAGAGTGGACTGTCCTAAACGGCTACTCACCATCAGTGTAAATAGAGTGAACTGTCCTAAACGGCTCCTCACCATCAATGTAAGTAGAGTGGACTGTCCTAAACGGCTCCTCACCATCAGTGTAAATAGAGTGAACTGTCCTAAACGGCTACTCACCATCAGTGTAAATAGAGTGGACTGTCCTAAACGGCTACTCACCATCAGTGTAAATAGAATGAACTGTCCTAAACGGCTACTCACCATCAGTGTAAATAGAGTGAACTGTCCTAAACGGCTACTCACCATCAGTGTAAATAGAGTGGACTGTCCTAAACGGCTACTCACCATCAGTGTAAATAGAGTGAACTGTCCTAAACGGCTACTCACCATCAGTGTAAATAGAGTGGACTGTCCTAAACGGCTACTCACCATCAGTGTAAATAGAGTGAACTGTCCTAAACGGCTACTCACCATCAGTGTAAATAGAGTGGACTGTCCTAAACGGCTCCTCACCATCAGTGTAAATAGAGTGAACTGTCCTAAACGGCTACTCACCATCAGTGTAAATAGAGTGGACTGTCCTAAACGGCTACTCACCATCAGTGTAAATAGAGTGGACTGTCCTAAACGGCTCCTCACCATCAGTGTTAATAGAGTGGACTGTCCTAAACGGCTCCTCACCATCAGTGTAAATAGAGTGGACTGTCCTAAACGGCTCCTCACCATCAGTGTAAATAGAGCGAACTGTCCTAAACGGCTCCTCACCATCAATGTAAGTAGAGTGGACTGTCCTAAACGGCTCCTCACCATCAGTGTAAATAGAGTGAACTGTCCTAAACGGCTACTCACCATCAGTGTAAATAGAGTGGACTGTCCTAAACGGCTACTCACCATCAGTGTAAATAGAGTGAACTGTCCTAAACGGCTCCTCACCATCAGTGTAAATAGAGTGAACTGTCCTAAACGGCTCCTCACCATCAGTGTAAATAGAGTGGACTGTCCTAAACGGCTCCTCACCATCAGTGTAAATAGAGTGAACTGTCCTAAACGGCTACTCACCATCAGTGTAAATAGAGTGGACTGTCCTAAACGGCTCCTCACCATCAGTGTAAATAGAGTGGACTGTCCTAAACGGCTCCTCACCATCAGTGTAAATAGAGTGGACTGTCCTAAACGGCTACTCACCATCAGTGTAAATAGAGTGGACTGTCCTAAACGGCTCCTCACCATCAATGTAAATAGAGTGGACTGTCCTAAACGGCTACTCACCATCAATGTAAATAGAGCGGACTGTCCTAAACGGCTCCTCACCATCAGTGTAAATAGAGTGGACTGTCCTAAACGGCTACTCACCATCAATGTAAATAGAGTGGACTGTCCTAAACGGCTACTCACCATCAGTGTAAATAGAGTGAACTGTCCAAAACGGCTACTCACCATCAGTGTAAATAGAGTGGACTGTCCTAAACGGCTACTCACCATCAATGTAAATAGAGTGGACGCTCCTAAACGGCTACTCACCATCAGTGTAAATAGAGTGGACTGTCCTAAACGGCTCCTCGCCATCAATGTAAATAGAGTGGACTGTCCTAAACGGCTCCTCACCATCAGTGTTAATAGAGTGAACTGTCCTAAACGGCTCCTCACCATCAATGTAAATAGAGTGGACTGTCCTAAACGGCTCCTCATCATCAGTGTAAATAGAGTGGACTGTCCTAAACGGCTCCTCACCATCAGTGTAAATAGAGTGGACTGTCCTAAACGGCTACTCACCATCAGTGTAAATAGAGTGGACTGTCCTAAACGGCTCCTCACCATCAGTGTAAATAGAGTGAACTGTCCTAAACGGCTCCTCACCATCAGTGTAAATAGCATGAACTGTCCTGACGGGCAACTCACCATCAATGTAAATAGCGTGAACTGTCCTGACGGGCTACTCACCATCAATGTAAATAGCGTGAACTGTCTTGACGGGCTACTCACCATCAATGGGAATCGTGTTTAAAGTCCTACCCGAATACTTAGCATGAACACTTATGGGACGTAGGGTCCTGCTGAGGTATTTCATCATGATTACTTACGGTACGACCAGTTCTGACAATGTTCTAACCATCAAAGCTTACGGTACGAAGACCCGGGTTCGATTCCCCACATGGGCACAATGTGTTAAGCCCATTTCTGGTGTCCCCCGCCGTGATATTGCTGAAATATTGCTAAAAGCGGCGTAAAACTAAACTCAGTCAGTCAGTCAGACAATGTTCTAACCATCAAAGCTTACGGTACAACCAGTTCTGACAATGTTCTAACCATCAAAGCTTACGGTACGACCAGTTCTGACAATGTTCTAACCATCAAAGCTTACGGTACGACCAGTTCTGACAATGTTCTAACCATCAAAGCTTACGGGTGACCAACTGGCGCACTGAACTCACCATGGACGTGTACAGGGTCACCAGACCGCCTACAGTCAGAATGGACACCCAAAGCTCCATTCCTGTCACTACAACAACAAACATTTAGTGTTTACTTATCACCAACATAGCAAGCAAATATACAATGCAATGTTGGCAGAAATGTAAAGATAACAATATGCACAGGAACACATTAGCACTTGATCCAACATACAAGGAACTACAACAGAAGCATATCATCGAGTACACGCTGAAAAGGGATACTATACAGTATATATACAACATGGCGTGGTCTGAAGTTTGTTATCTGCTGTCTAACAAATATGTACTCAGATACAAAATACAACGTGGTCAAATGCAATTTAATTTCTAGTGCGATACACTGACCACGTGGTCAGATTCAATACACATCTGGGGTGATCACCTGGAAGGGACAGACTACGTTGCGTTATTTACACACTATCATGTAGTATATAAAGAATGACTCGCTGCAGTAGCAAGTATAGATGTAAGCATCATATTGTAACAGAATACCATATTGTAACCGAATACCATATTGTAACAGAATACCATATTGTTGCAGAGTACAGAATTCCTGTTCGTAGATACAGAATATCTTGACAATAATGATGTTTCAGGTAAATTATAGCGGCAAAACACTTTCCACAAGAAATATCTGCCCGGAGAAGAGTCAGTTGTACTATTGTGAATATATCATTCGAGGTGTTTATGAATGACTATCAGATATGTACGATAAGTGGTGTTTGTGAAACGCTGAGCGTATCCTGCCTAGTCTGTGGCACCGATCACAAACACGTGCAAAGGCTAGGCAAATGTTCATCTGTTCTTTCGGAAACAGATGGTACAAACCAAAATAGGATTTTGCATTGGACATCATTCTGATAATGATGTGTTAAATATGGTACAGCCCCCCATATGGGCCTTTGTCATATTTTAGGGTTTACTGAGTCCTTAGATAGTTTAGCCTTGATAGAACAAGCTGTGAGCAACAGTAGTGTGACGCCCTTAGGCGGGTTAGGAATATGCTCGATTGTACCTGCAAAGTTTTAAAATGTAATCTCCAAAGGCTGTTGGAATATCTCTTGAAATAAAGGAAATAATGAAAATACAGTTAGCCATTTGAAAGTTGAAAACATCATACTCTACAGCCTTGTGGAGAGGAGGTTTGTCACACTGAATCTTTATGCTCAGGTCTAAATATGAAACAAATGATCCATTATTTCAAGTTCAGGTGGGTAAATCATTGGAAGGAATTGGCTATCTTTTTGGACGATATTAGATCATCGATATACCTGACTCTGGCGTTAAAAGTCTTGGCCAAATAATATTCTTTTATTTTTGCCTACCCGAGCAGTAATTTGGATTCACATACATAAATATCCGCAAGGAAGTGGAACAGTTTGTGTCCGCTTTCTATGCACTTTGTACATAGTTTTTAATGAGGAAATCCATCGTTTTCTATGCTCAATTGGACGTAGTTCTCAATGAGGAAATCCATCGTATTCTATGCTCAATTGTACGTAGTTCTCAATGAGGAAATCCACCGTATTCTATGCACAGTTGGGCGTAGTTCTCAATGAGGAAATCCACCGTATTCTATGCACAATTGTACGTAGTTATCAATCAGGAAATCCACCGTACTCTATGCACAATTGTACGTAGTTATCAATCAGGAAATCCACCGTATTCTATGCACAATTGTACGTAGTTATCAATCAGGAAATCCACCGTTTTCTATGCTCATTTGTACTTAGTTCTCAATGAGGAAATCCACCATTTTACATATGGTTTTCCCAGTAGCTACAGATGGCATTTGCTCTCACATTTGTCGTTAGCTTAAGAATGTCGTGTTAAGAATATCGTGTTGTTATATGATAATATTATGTTGTTAGATGAGAATATCGTGTTGTTAGATAAGAATATCGTGTTGGTAGATGAGAATACCGTGTTGTTAAATTAGAATATTATGTTGTTAGATGGGAATACCTTGTTGTTAGATGAGAATACATTGTTGTTAGATGAGAGTATCGTGTTGTTAGATGGGAATATTATGTTGTTAGATTAGAATACCGTGTTGTTAGATGGGAATATTATGTTGTTAGATTAGATTATCGTGTTGTTAGATGAGAATACCTTGTTGTTAGATGAGAATACATTGTTGTTAGATGAGAATACATTGTTGTTAGATTAGATTATCGTGTTCTTAGATGAGAATATCGTATTGTTGTAAGATGAGAATACCTTGTTAGATGAGAATACATTGTTTTTAGATGAGAGTATCGTGTTGTTAGATGGGAATATTATGTTGTTAGATGAGAATACCGTGTTGTTAGATTAGATTATCGTGTTGTTAGATGAGAATACATTGTTGTGAGATGAGAATACATTGTTGTTAGATGAGAATACCTTGTTAGATGGGAATACCTTGTTGTTAGATGAGAATACATTGTTGTTAGATGAGAGTATCGTGTTGTTAGATGGGAATATTATGTTGTTAGATGAGAATACCGTGTTGTTAGATTAGATTATCGTGTTGTTAGATGAGAATACATTGTTGTTAGATGAGAATACATTTATGTTAGATGAGAATATTGTGTTGTTATATGAGAATATTATGTTGTTATATGAGAATATCGTGTTGTTTGATGAGAATACATTTATGTTAGATGAGAATATTGTGTTGTTAGATGAGAATACCATGTTGTTAGATGAGAATACCATGTTGTTGGATAAGAATATCGTGTTGTTAGATGAGAATACCATGTTGTTAGATGAGAATATCATGTTGTTAGATAAGAATATTGTGTTGTTAGACTTGAATACCTTGTCGTTATATGGAATGCCACCGTAGTTTGTACAGAATGCGCTATAGCTTCTTGAAGGATATGACCATGTACATGCACTGTGCCACGCTGTGGGATTGGGACAGAATATTAAAATGTTCATAGATGGGAGACCAATTTCGTGATTCAGCATGCCATGATGTTAGACACTGTATACTTTATGGTGCATAAATAACATAACCTGCTTGGTTGTGGAGTACAGTTCATTGTGTGGTAGACATGACAAAAGCAATACTATACATTTATCTGGAGATTTGGAATCTACAATAAGCCGTGAAACATTCAGCGAGAGTTATACAACAGCTGTCATACGCTACCTGATTTCAGAGCTAAAGATGGCGCGTAGAGAACAAAGGAGAGGTAGACAATCTGAAATGGAACCAAATGATGATTAGCAAGTTTACTAAAGAGTGTCATATGTGATATTCCATGTGTGACGATGGTACATAATTATTTGTACGGAAGTTGACACTATGTTACCAAACTCACCGTTTGAAATAACCAATTGAGCGACGCTAAAATGTCGACTTCTTTTTTTTCCACTTTTATTGGTGGATTGTGTACTGAAATTGTAGAAAGTGTTAAATTTCATGTAGAGCTGTTTCATGATTTTTTTTTTAGAGATATTGCTATTACTTTTTGCAGATGATGTCATTCTCTGCGATAAAACCAATCACAGCAAAACTAACTTGGTTTCCGCAATCCGGAAACCTGATGGAAAGTGGACTGAAACTTAAGTTTCCACCTAGAATCCAGTGAGTTTCCGTTCTTACCCACTTTCTGAGGGTTTCCTCAGGGTATCCGTTACCAAACCTCCGACAGTTTCAGTTAACTTAGAATCCACCAGGTTTCCACAAGGTTTCAGTTACTGTTCTGTTTAGAAGGGGTGGGCGATTAGCAGCTAAACAGAGACTCACATTACAAAGACTTTGTTATTGATGTTGTGAATTCATATAAAGATAAAAAATGTTCATGAATTATGTTTACAAACTTTACCTCAGTAGTACAGGTAGTTTCATAGTATGCAAGTACAGTGTTTCCTTGATCACATTGTCAAATACCATGCTATTCCCAAATATGTAAAATGGTCAAACTAAGCATGTATATGAAGTGTTACATGTTTGCAGAGTTTACCTCAGCAGTACACAGTACAGTACAAATAGCTTCATTGTACACAAGTACAGTGTTTCCTTGATCACATTGTCAAATACCATGCTATTCCCAAATATGTAAAATGGTCAAACTAAGCATGTATATGAAGTGTTACATGTTTGCAGAGTTTACCTCAGTAGTACAGTGTTTCCTGCTTCATTGTACACAAGAACAGTGTTTCCTGTTATAATAGGTCAGGACAAAATGTTCTTTATTACGCTAAGCGAACTGTATTTCTTTTCTAGGATGCCACATTTAATACACAAAGGGATTAATCCAGGTAGAACACAAGCAGAAAAACAACGATAGGGCTAACTATGGGGACGCGGTGGGCGAGCTGGCTAGTTGCCTGGATATGTGCGCTATATAAATATACTATAATAATAACTAATGGGCTCTTCCAGTCACAAGTTGAGCACGGTTTACGTTCGGGTTAAATGTCTTCTCTTCTCTATATTATTTTAGTTACGTCTGTGATTATTGTAATCACATTGGGAAATGTAAACGTCGCACTTCTGCTACCAACCTAACGTTTGGTCACGCGACATTCTACGGATGCATTGTGGGACTGTGGCCATAGCCTCAGTCAGCGAACATTGCGATTCGAGCTGAGACATTTATCCGTCGAAAATTGTAAAACGTAATGTTTTCACCAGTGATGTCGGCGCCTTTGATCTTTTAGTGAATCATCTTACAAAGATATACATGTATGCTCAACTTTAAGGTGAATATCACATGCATTCAAGATAAAATCATAACACTTTGCACCTTTCTTAACTCATTACAGTGGGTTTATCTATTTTTAACATATCCTGGTATTTCTTTATAGCCTGGATTAACCCTTGATAATGAAGGAAGTTGACATCAAGTTCTAAATTGTATTGGAATTGTTTAAGTGATAGGTAGTTTTCTTCAGGATTTATAAAGTCTCGTACTTTATTTCTCTAATCATTTAGAATGATAGATAATCTCCTTGTCAATGGTGATGTCTTTGTTGTAAAAGACAGGTTCTGTTATAAAGTCATCAAATTATTCAGGCTGTAGTTTTTAGAACTTATCAAATGAAAGG